AGGCAGAGAATAAAATAGAGACAAGTCGGGAAAGGAAAAGATCTTTTTATATATATAAGAGTATTTACAACGTCCGATCAGGACCCTACACAAACAATCGAAATGGGAAAAACCCTAAGTTTCATGGTTATCTCCGGGGGCAGTCTCTTCTCCATCGGGCTTCTCCTTGCTCTAGGACCCACTCTTTCTCCCATCATCATAATCATCATCATCATCATTGGAAGCCAAGGCTATGCCATCGGCTTCAAGTTGTTTAGCCTTTTTTATCTCTTTGGTAAGATCAAAACCTCGAGCATGGATCTCCTCGAGGGTTTCCCTCCGAGATTGGCATTTGGCGAGTTCAGCAACCCAATATGCTCGAGTTTGAGCGGTCTCGATAGCCTTTGTACTTGAGCAGCTTCAAAATCGGCCCAATAGACAGCCACGAATGCATCCACCTCGGCCTTTGCCTTTTCAGCCTCAAATTTAGCCTTGGCAAGTTCGGAAGCCAACCGATCCTCGAGCTCCTCTATTTTTCTTGCTTTAACCAAGCTATTCTCCTTCATGCCTTGAAGTTGACTTTCAGCCAATGATAATTGGGCTCGAGCAGTCTCTTTTTCTGCAGCGAGGCGGTCCATGCCTTCTTTCCACCCAAAGGTCTCCGCCCTAATCATATCGACCTCCTCGCGAAGCAGCCCGATCACCTTAAGCTTCTGCTGCAACTGTGAGATCAAAATATTAGCCACTGTTCCCGAATTGAGCCCATGAGTTTTTAAGATTATCATTACCTGCTCGGTCAGGTCGGTTTGATCTTCGTATGCCTTGGCCAACTCGGCTCGAAGATCTTTGATCTCTTCCTTTTTCTGCCCATTAAGAATTTTGAGGGCATTTCTCTTCTCCGAAAGCACTCGGAAGTCGGCCTCACGTCGGTTCAGCTACCCGATTCAGGTATAAAAAGAGAAAAGACATAAAAAGAGTAAAATGAGACATCAACAACGGGAATCGAGACTTACCCGATTCAGGGCTCGTTGAACCTCGAAGAAAAGACCCAACGTGTCACTCGGGCCGGCAGCATCCTCGGTACCGGTAAATAAATCACGAAAGGGGTCCTCACCCTCATGGACCCCGGCTACCTCGAGGGTCCCCAAAGCTCGGGCTTCCCGAATTGCCTCTTCGGGAAAAGCGGGGAGAGTAGGCGAGTCTCCGATTACTATTGCCCCGAGCGAGTCGCTTGGGGCGTTCTCCTCAGTTCGAAGAGCTTCAGGGTCGGCCCCTTCTGATATACCCACCGATTGATCACTTCGGTGGGAGGCATCCTCGATCTCCAACGACTCGGGGAATTTGTCCAAGTCCTTCTCCGATATCCCCTCAGTTCGAGATGGAGCCTCATCAACTGCCATCGACCCAGCTGCCTTTGGGGCATCGATGGGTTTCTCCACTCGGGCCACCAGTATGGTCTTGTCATTTTCTTCTTCTTCGTCTTTATCCCTTAGACACCGAACATATTCTTCGGTCAAATAGATGATATTCTTCCTTGGCTTACGAGTCGTCCTCGTCTTAAGCTTTGGATCCTCGGTAGTATAGGCCCTTTTTCTCTTGTTATCCTTCACCGGTTTTGGAACCGGGGCTAAAGTCTCTTCCTTTCCAGACGAGGGCCTCATGATTGCATCTTTGCCCAGGCCTACACACAAGAAAATTGGTTAAGTATAGGAAAGATATTTTGTTCGAATCATCGAATACATGGGAAAAAGGCTTACCATGATTTTTGGCCTCCCATCGGCCCTTTGATAAATCGCGCCATGAGCGCTCGACATATGTAGAGGTCGAAGCCAGGTCCCTTACCCAGCTCTAAAAGTTTAAGAACTGCACTGGGCATCCAAGCAACCGCTGCATCACAAAAAGGATATCGGTGAGAAAGAAACGAAGGAGCAAAACAATAGGAGCTAACAATAGAGTTATACTTACGCTTCATGTTCCATTCCTCGGGAAATGGCATCTTCTAGGCCGGGATTAGGTCCGAAGTTTTCACTCGAACGAACCTACCCATCCAGCCCCGGTCTTTGTCCTCGTCTATGCTCGAGAACATCACTTTGGTATCCCACACTGGAGTTTTATTAACCCACCTCGATAGAGGCGGGGTTGTACAACCTAATGAGATGGTCGAGGGTGAAAGGCATCCCCTCGACTTTGTTCATGAAGAATCGGATTAGAATAACGATCCGCCAAAAAGAAGGGTGAATGTGGCCTAGAGTTACTTGGTATTGGCGGCAAAAATTGATGACAACAGGATCGAGGGGACCCAACGTGAAAGGGTAAGTGTACATACTTAGAAACCCTTTCACATGAATAGTAATATCTTCTTCGGGAGCCAGGATTATCACTTCTTTGTCCTCCGAGTTGCAATCTTTCCTTAACTGTTTAAGATGGCCCTCAATTATCGAGCACATATACCTCGATACTGGCTCGCATCGACCGGGGACCGGCGAAGCTTTGTCGATCTTAAAATCGGAGGTAAGAACACCCCC